GAATGTTGTTGGAACTTCTGTAATACTTCTATTTTCTGTAAAAAATTAAATCGTCTAAAACTTTTTTGTCAGTCTTTATTTAGGAACTTTCATCCAACAAAAACACATCAAGCACATCAAATCTTAACCTAGCATGCAACTAAAGTTCTTCAAAGAAAAAAAAAACATTTTCTCTTTTGACAGGTCATTTACATTAAGTGACCAGAGAAATATAAAAAAATTGGGTCAAATGATCCATTCGAATTTAGAGGTAGTTGTTTTGTCCTTCTTTCATGTACACGCCATCTTGTATAATGTATCTAGGTGATGCATGAGAATGCTCCAAGAACCCTTTTATGAAGTCTTTATTCTTGCTAGTAATGAGGCGAGCCTTGCATGATTGATGGGTTCTGGAGGAGCAGTACCAGTTGAGGGTGTTGGTGTTCTGCTTCGCACAGTGGAAACTGAACCCGTTGACTACGACCACTGTGCTGCCATTGGTTTTTTGAGCCCAAATCACTGGAATATAAACCATAATGCTTTCGTCGTAAAGTTGAATTATATAATAAAAAAATAGGAACCTGATATTGTAGTAACAAAAAATGAACAAAGCATGTTCGTGCTATAACATAAATAAGTTTCACATAGTGGATATAATTTCTAACATTAATTTTTTGTTTGACAAATATACGCTCTCTGTGCCATAAGCACGAATGACTCTCTTAATCGTATTCCTACTACCGTAGCGGCGTACTTTTGTTTTTCGTGCAAATAAAAAACGTCAAAATTTTTTCGTGCTTCGAGCACGGAACTATAATTCAACATATAAATATTCTATTGTGTGCAACTGTACATACATCTATACATCTATATAAATATATTTAAAGTCCATTTATTTATTTATATTTATGTAGTAACAAAGTCACTTCACATAGTACCTATTCAAGATACTAAATCACGTACCTATCTATGTGCAATATTACATGATAGTATTTTGTTTATTTATTTATTAAAGGAATACACAACAGGTAACAATCAAGGAATACAAAAATACTGCAATTGAAAACTACAATTTTAAAATAATGCTTTCAACTAGATTGCAACCTAATAGCGTGTACACTCACGTAAATATTGTATTAGAGAGTTAAAAGTAATCAAAATGAAAAAAGTAAGCTGCGGCTATGGATTACCCATAGAGATAATTAGTCCACAGGCGCAACCCATGCGTTGTAGAATCATAAAAGTAAAACAAGAACAAATAGGTAGGTATACAATAAATAAAAAAGGAAAAAACTCTGCAGATGATGTCAGCGTACGCACATCACCTTTCTTTGTCATACAAATACGTAACATATCAGCCACGAAACGCAAAAAATATAAATAGACAAATGGAGTTTATTAAGGTTTCATAAACCGGAGAAAAATATTAGGAATCTGATCTGATAAACTATACTTAAGAATAAGGTTAAATCTTTGGTAAATTCTTCATGCCGTAGCCAATTTTATAGTATACGCCATTAAGTATGGTAAAGTTAGACGCACGATGGTTGTGGACCAGGTTGCCTCTAATGATGGTCCTGTCTTTGGCTGCTATGAATCGAGCCGTGCAGGTTCTCTTGTGACAGCTCCAATGGTCCGTGGTCATATGCTGCCTACGCAAGTAGAACGTATGTTCCTGGATCAGGAAGATCTCTCTGCCGCTTTTGTTGAAGAGGACCATGCCTCGTAACCCTGAAGTTTCAGAAAAAATTGTAAAGAACTGACACTTGGAAGTTACAAATACCTAGTAAAAATAAAATACACGATATGAGCAATTAAAAACAATTTCTTAGTTTTACTCGCAACCGACATTATTATTTCACTGAATTGCGATTAGAAAATGCGTGAAGAAATAAAATTAACACTCTCACGGGATTATGCAACAAAAACTTTTATAACGGTAAACAGATATTACCCCTCCCGACGTTTCAACTCGGTTGCACGAGTCATGGTCGCGGGCAGACTGAAGAGATGCGGCGTCGTCTGCCTGGCGCGATGAATTTTTTTCACCCACCCACGTTCCCGTGAGTGTGATAATTTTAAAGTAAAAAATAAAGCGTTAAGAAATGTTATTTATTTATATTTTGTTACGATAAGTTTAACAGTAACTATCCTTTACACGTTTCAGGAGTTAAACTTTCTTGTAAATCCCATTTACTATAACAAATTTTGACGGTGCATGGTCATGGTTAAAATCGTAAGTTCGGAAATTTTTAAACATGTCTAAAATGAATTTGGCTTTACATTTGGTATTCTTCGTGCACTTCCATCGACTGCTGGACCTGTACTTCTCCTGGCAGTAGAAGCTGTAGTCGTTGACCAGGCATATCTCCTTGCCGTTACTGTTGTGAAGCCAAATTACTGAAAAATAGTATGTACTTTGAAAGATCTAGCAGTGAACGACATTTGGCTGAAGCGAAATATGACAAAACGTTTCTGAAAATTAATATTTAGTTCCTAATGAGATAAAACTCCCAAAACTGTGTTGAATAGAATATAATCAATTAAATTATTACAACTTATAACAGACAAGTTAGAATCCAATCATAATCAATAATAAATTATGACCAATTTGCAAGCATAAAGATAGAGTTTTCAGTCGCAGAGTAATAATACTAGATGAACAATAAAATGTAGGTGATGACAAATCTCTAATGGTTAAAATAAAAGATATTATTAGGTGCATATTTCATTCAGTTTTTATTTTATATTTTGGAGAACAGAAACTATCAAGGGCTGGAGTGAAAGTGAACTATCCAATGATAGACAGAGATTGCAGCCAGGTATTCGTACTTACGTGGACTATTCAAAAATACTAAAATAACATTTTGTACACAATTATGTCACAAAGAAATAAATTACCGGTTCATTACACGGATAGCATTAAGAGCGTAGTTATTGGTCGTACCTTCCCAATTTATAGAAAATTCCATTTCGTATGCTAAACCTGGACGGTGGATGAAAGTGCATTAAATTGGCTTGGGTGATGAGTCTGTTCTTCGCAGTGATGATTCTAGCCTTGCAAGCGGTGCTGGATCTGGCTGAGCAGTACCAGTTGAGGGTGGTGTTGTTCTCCCTCCCACAGTAGTAGGTATACCCGTTGATGATGGCGACCTCGTGACCGCTGCTGCGGCGAGCCCAAATAACTAAAAAGTTCGGAAGCATTACAATAAAAAAAATATTAATGAAATCTAGCTGATAACGTAGCATTCGCAGATGGAGTTATTTTTAGATACTGGTATTCACCCGTGGTGGATACGAGAGGTAGGTATAGTTGCGTTAATAATGGTTTCCTACATTGATGAAATAAGAATAGTGAACAAGGTCAATATTTCAAAGAAAGGTGTAGTTTGAAACAAGGCGGACGACCTCATAAAGATAACAGGGAGGCGTTGGATGCAGGCCGCTACCAATTGGTCAATCTGGAAAACATTGTGGGAGGCCTTTTTTCAGCAGTGGGCATCTTGTGGCTGAAGTGATGACGCATGCGCAAGCTTGTTTGATGAATAAATAAAACTAGGATGTGTGCAAAGGGTCAATGAGTTAAGAAAATTCATCATTAATCATCTTGAATTTATTAGATTATAAATAATATAATATTGGAATTGTCAAACTCACATTAATATGATATTAAAATCATGCTCCTAGGTAACTGTGTTTTATGAAATCTACCAAGACACAGTAAAAATATAATTATCTACTAATTACTAGTAACAAAAAATTTAAATAAAATAACTAACAATTACAACAACAACAATAATTCATTATTATAACAAACACAACGTTTTCTTAAAACTTCTAAGAAGTAGATATTTTAAACAAATACACTTGACTATACAAATAGACATAGAAAAGCTGTTCCGAAAAATCTTTTTGACTTGCTATCACAAACTCTTTCAGTCGATTGCGAGCGAGCGAAATAGAGAAGTATTGCGAATGTACCTATGCAGTTGCCAAACTAACAATCATGTCAGTTGACAGATGAAATGTTTTTAGTTAATACAATTTGCTTAAATCTTTTTTTCTGAACAGCTTATAATATAATACTACATTGCCTTTGCCCTTAACTCAGTCAGTCCTTTCAGATTTTGTAATAAAATCCATTTTTGATGACGAACATTGGGGCTTGGTGTGGATGATCTAAGTTTGCATCAAGTACTTGCCCATCTATAGTAATGATCAGCCTGGCCCTACAGGCCCCCCATCTGGTACACCTCCATATGTTCTTCTTGGCGCCTTTCACGCTGCAGTAGAATGTGAAGCCTCCTACAATCGCCAAAAGCTTCCCAGATTTGTTGTATACGTAGTCAACTAAAACTAGAATAATATGGATTAACCATTGACTACTTCATTTAAAGGCCCATTAACACTAGCTTATAGAAAAAGACAAGCAATAATTAAAAACCCATGTTTACAAAGAGATGGCGCTGCTTGTAATTTAGTTCGCAGTTTATCCCAAGGCACCAAATAGCATTTACTTACAAATTTTCAATTTAGTAGATAAAGATAGATCCAGCGATATAACTCGCTTGACTCTAGCAGGCTAGATCCTTAAAAGCTTAAGTAATCTGAAAAATAATTCAGGTATCCAAGTTAAATCAAAATTAAAATCAATAAAATGGAAAATTCGTTTAATCAAAATTATAAATAACAATACTAAAAAAATATAACTCATTATGAGTAATATAAGTACAGTACATCTCTAAGTGGTTAGGTACCTACTTAAGTTTTTCGACCATCTTGTAAACGATAGATTGGACTGACTCTCATTTTCAATATTAAAAATTGTTTGAAACAACAATAGATATAAAGATATTTCAAAATTAATAATATTCGGTCGAATACGTTCGTCAAACTCAATTTTTCAAACATTTTTTTTTAAGAACACCAGTTACGTTATACTAAACTTGCGCTCGGAATGCAATTATTAGAAAAGAAAACAGCACATCGACCTTCTCAAAATCACAAATGAACTTTATGTGCTTTAAATAAAATTCAAAATAACCCTACAATTTGTAATAAACTCCTTTACGTATAATATACTTTCCAGGAAAGTGATTATGGTCTAGAGAACAGCGGATGATGGCGTTGTCTTTGGTGGTGATGATGCGAGCCTTGCACCTCAGGTTCTTGGTGCAGCACCAGTTGTTGGTCCTGAAGAGACGGCGTTGGCAGTAGAACGTGTAGTCGTTGACGATCATCATCTGCTTCCCTGAAGTACTGAGAGCGAATATCACTGTGGAAAGACAATCTATTTATGACGTCTTCTTTGTCTTTTTAGTTATTGTAAGTTGGTGAAAACACATGAAAAGAAAAAGACGTAAAATTTTGTTTATCATCAATATCATCAGTGGTTTTAATTTGGAAAAACAACTCTCTCCAATGAGTCTCAACTAGTTGACTCTGCGTTTAAGTTGTACCCCGTACAATGTTGAATAATAAAGTAATTTATAAAAAGGATACTAAAAAACAAATTTTAGATCACAGATTAAATACATTTATTATAATATAACTTCTGACTAGTATTGATAATATCATTATATTCATAATAGAGATAATAAATAGCTACTTTAAAAGTCTGTATAAATATGTACATAGGAATGTCCATAAAACTTTGGTATGCGTTTTAAAATTTAAATGTTCTTATTATTTACACGTAGATGTTAGTCACTATGCTATGTACATTGTAACATCACAAAAACAATACAATCATTATAACATCACAAAAACAATACAATGATTATGCCGTTCTATTTTCTTTTCCACAATCCCTTGATGTGTCTTGGATATGTAAACCAACCTTTTTATATGTTGTCTTTGTTTTTACTACTTTTTGATACCTTTTATTGTATTATTTTGATTGCTCTTTGGTATTTTGTGGGCATTGGGTCTGTCAGCACATTTTGGCAATAAAATTATTTTACCATCATCATCATCATCATTTCAGCCATAGGACGTCCACTGCTGAACATAGGCCTCCCCCAATGACTTCCACATCGCACGGTTGGTAGCGGCCTGCATCCATTATTTTACCAAGTTTATTGCATTTCTACCGCGTTGACATACGGCCCAGACCCCGAACCCAATATTGATGAAGGGGAAAATTTCTTAATTCTTAGCAGTATCCCGTCTCTCACTTCGATACGTGGTGGCGGGTGACTATGGGAATTGAACTCGCGTACCACCTCCCCACACTTCGTGGTGGTAAACCTAGCTCTACACCTCCCAGCGTTGGTACATTGCCAGGTCTTGGTGAATTTCCTCCGTCCGTCCATGTAGAAGGTGTACCCATTCACAATTGCTATCGCCTTGCCGTTGGGGTTGTTAACATACATGACTGAAAAGATGAAACAAAAATCGTCGTTAGAGCATTGTCAAATGAAAATAGATGTAAGCAAACAGGTGCAGGCCAAAAACGTACCAATGTTAAGTAAAAAAATCTTTTTACCCTTTATCTAGATGCAGTCCTATTTGAAAAAAATGATGGTGAGGTGAATACAGCTGGTTTATTATAAAATCTACGAGTATAAAATATTAACGAGTATAAGTTACAACTTATGGTTATGAGTCCCGCCAACTTTTATAACAGTTTGCTCGGCAGTAAACACATAGGCCTTGCAGCCATGGTGTTTCCTGTGGCATCGCCATCTAGTCTTCTTAGCGAAATCGTTGTAATAGTCTTTGACGTATCTTTCGTTTCCTATTTGAAGTACCATACCAGTACCACGCTGATTTCTGGTAAATACGGGATCTGTAAGAAAAATAACAAAGTTTTCTAATTTAATTTAGGGTAATTTTCACATGTATTTTTCGATCCACATGCAAGCGAAATTTTTTAGATGATGTAAAAATATATTTTAAAAATTTATCAATGTGTCATGGCATTCGCATAATTATAGTCAAACCAACTCGCAAAATAAAGTACCTACCCAGTTAATAATAAATGTACCATTATTAGGGATTAAAATGTCAAAAAACTTTTATTTTATGGGTGGTAGAGTGAGGCTACTGTCAGTGATGGGAAAAACAAAACAGCACTTCATTTATCAAATAAAAGTACTTATTCTAAAATAAAAGTGTTTATTTTAAATTATTCGATAAAAGTGATTAAACTCGTAGTAAACAAAGTTTATCTTAGTATATTTTTTACAACTATCTTACTCGTATATCAGAATTAGACTTATAAATAAATTTTCTAAAACGTCAGGACGTTTTTTTTTCGGTCGATCCGGTCGGAATTCTTATTATTCTTTTGTTTTTTCATACAAATGAAGACCGTCTTTAGTGCGTCTCAGTTTTGGTGGGTCATGATCATGAGTATTCTTAAACCTGACTGGCTCGAGGATTTCATTCGTGGCGANGGTAGCGACCGTGGCGCGACACCCTCGGTGGTAGAAGGAGCAATACCAGAGCAGCCATCTTGTCGACCTGGTCAACCGATTGTAGGTATATCTCCGCATCAGCAGAGTATTTCCTTTGTAGCCTCTCCTCGTTGATATTAATATTCCTGTAATTATAATTTATAGATGTTATAATAAAAATAAATAAGATGAGTAGTAGCAACTTTGGAATCGTATTGGGTGATACGATAGGTCCTTATAACATGCATACCGTACTCCAGCTATGAAAACTAAATGTAAAATAAATAAAAATAATATTGGGTTAATACTGGGACGTGTAAAAGCCTATTTGCAAAAATAAATGAATTTTATGAGTTTTTAAAAAGTTTTTATTTCTAACAACTTATAGTTCATAATTTGGTTAGTAAATAAACACCTTAAATGCTAATGTTAGTAATCGTTATCAAGTGATTATTATTTTCCAATTTATACCAATATTATTACGCAATATGTTTATCAAGGATGCTGTCTTCTTGCGAATGATAGCCGGGAAGCCATCAACACTGTGACAAGCAAACATCCCTGACGCACTACAAAAGCGCGGCAGCCCCAGCAGCATTCTGAAGACGTTATTATATTGGAAACGCAAGGTATCCAGATACTTTTTGCTATGATTGACCCAAAGACTTCCCGTGTAAAAGATCTGACAATATGCTTTGAAAAGTGTGATCTTTACTTCATCGGTAGGGGAGACCGAGGAGAGTTGTAACAAAGGAGAGTTGAGACATTGACGATTTTTCGGAACTTATTAACTATCAGCTAGCTCGCAACAGCACGTATTTGTTAGCTCGAGACTTGAACTAAAAAGCGCACACTGTCACGAGTTCGCTAGTAGTTAATAAGTTCCAAAAAATCGTCTATGTCTCAACTCTCCTCTGTTACAACTCCCTACAACGGGAAAAGCTTTATTTTTTTCTGTTGAAACTATCCACGGACACCCTTGTTGTTATTATGATTAGATATTGCGCATCCCTTGGAGGTGACACCGACTAATAAAAAGTTAAGCTACAATAATGCATTTAACATAAGTTCCGTCTTCTTGCAATTTTAGAATGGGTGGTCGATGGTTATGGTTGTTTTTAAACTCGTAGGGAACAAGGTCGATCGTCGTAGCGATGCTGGCCTTGCACCGTTTGTGGTACATTGAGCAGTACCACCGAAGACAAGATCTGGATTTGAACATCCGATTGTAAGTGTGATTGCGAACAAGCAACAGCTTGTGGCCTGTGTCCATCTGTATAATTTTACCAGCTGCAACACGACATTAAATAGGTTAATTAATAAAATATTAAACGAAATGTGGGATTCCTGTTCTGCTTGAATGGTTTAAGTGTCTCTATTTTATATTGTACCTTCTACGTGTAGCGCTCTATATATTTTCAAAGGGTGTCATTTTTGTACTGTAATTGCATAAGTAACAATTCCACTATTAAATAAAGCAAGGATACACTCGTACATAAGTATATTTAGCTTACCACAAGGGCTTAAAAAGAATTCTCTAGGATTAGTCTTTATAAAAAAAATACTTTTTTTTAAGTGCTATGTAATTATTTCCTAATATTTGACAAAAGTACATCCAGATTTTGTGAGAATCGTCTGCGGCGGTCCATGGTTATGAACATTCGTGCACTCTACAACGACGCAATCTTCGGTGGTAATGATAAAAGATTTACAGTCCTTATGGTACCTAGTACAGTACCATCTCCAGCAGCGGTTTTTCGCTTTCTGCTTCCTATTATAAACATAGTCTTGCCATTTTAACGCCTTTCCTCCGTGGACCATTTCGATGAGTTCAGCTGCAATATAAACTGACATTCAAACCTCGTTCTCTTCTAGCAAAAGTTTAACCTGATGTAGTATGAAAGAGCTGCGGTCCTCTACTGTTATCTAAATCAATTCTATTACTGGTTTGTCGCAGCGGTAATGGATGAATTGAAACCAATCACAGAACAATAAATAAAATAAATAAACATAATCTTGAGATTGATTCTAGTTTTCAACGTATTGCAATGCGGTGAACTACATACAAGCGACAGTTCTATTATGAGTCGACTAGAAGTGAAATATAGTCTCCAGGAGAGTGTACTTACCTTCTTCATCTTATATCTCTTCAAGTGAGTTCTTAATGACAGTAATCAACTAACTTACTTATAATATCTCATATATTCTATTTTGTATATTTTCTAGAGAAAGTCAATTTTCCTGGTGGGAAGCCCTTAGCTTAAATGAAACCAGTTTTTTAAAGAATTTTTATTTTTTTATTTACAAAAACACGAAATACTGCAATATCACGTAATCCAATTTGACAGTCGTAGGCCTGTATAAGATTAAGAGAAGATAGAATGAGAATAAGACAAATAGGTGCGATAAATATTTTTGAACATAATATATCATCTGTCGGCCTGTTCATCTCCGCGAGTGTACATCGAAAACAAAACACGCACGATGGCCCACCTACAGGATACTATTCGACAAGGCCTCACATACGAGCGATTCTTGTGTATGATGGAAGAAAATAAAGAAAATGGTGTACTAAATACTGTGCAGTATTTAACTGCCTAAATAATAATAAAAACACAGAATGTACTTTTTTAAGTTGCCTCAAGACACTGAGAGGTAAAAAAGTAGTTAATATTATTCATGATAATTCATGCTAAATCATGTATTTCCTCCGCCATTTTTCGCAGTTTGGCACCTCACGTCACATCATTTTACCAAAGTCAGCCCTATAGCTTCGGCGCAGTGCCGATCACTGACGTTTGTCAACAAAATGGTGCTTGACTCTTGAGACAGGCTAAATTACACCATATTGTTAATGACATTGAGCATACATTTTTTAAATACCTTCGCGATGTAAAACTTCTGTACGTAGTACTTATTATTATTCTGTGATAATACATAATTATACACTGTACCATCTAGTCCCAAAATAAGCAATGCTTTTACTTGGCACCAGATATCTATCGGATATAAACATCCTTACTAATATTATAAATGTGAAAGTAACTCTGTCTATCTGACTGTGTCGCTTTCACGCCTAAATTACTGAAGCGATTTTGATGAAATTTGGCATAGAGATAGAGTCCCGGGAAAGGACATAAGATGTTTTTATCCCGCTTTTTGAAACAGGGACGCGCGCGATAACGTTTTTCTGTAAAAAAAAATTCACACGGACGAAGCCGCGGGCGGAAAGCTAGTACTTATATCTATTATTTTCATACAACACAATATTTAAAGCTGTAGGGCTTAGATGCGCGCCGCGGCCCGCGATAAGCGGTTATCACGCCATTTTATCGATTTTGCCCATACATTTTAACGTCGATAAAAGTTATCACGGCGCGCATCTTAAGCCTACGGGTTGTTAAAGTGATTAAACTTTTATCCTGTAATACACCCCGCCCGATTCTATGTACTCAACGGGTTCATGGTCATGCATCCCAAATACTTCCACGGCGTTCATTTGCTTATCAGTGATAAGCGTGACCTTACATCCTCTGTGATAGTACATGCAGTACCAGCGCCATCTATTGTGGTGGGTCGGCCGTCTGCGGTTGAAGGTATGATATTCCCAGAGCAACGCTTGTTTTCCAGTATACATTTTTATAAGTTTTCCTGTAATGTTTTGGGAATAGTCAGTCAATGCATCCAATTAAATCAGTATGACAGTCAGAGGTGGAATTCTGTAAAGCAATCGTTATCATTTGACAGTTCATAACGTACGATTATTCTGTCAAACGCTTTGTTTAACTGACTTTATCGTACATTATGAACCGTCAATTGATAACGATTGCTTTACACAATTCCACCATTGATCAGTATAAAACTGATATTGTTGTAATAATAAAATTAGGTAAACATGAAAAAAGAAATTAAATAATTAATTACAAATAATAAAAATAATGGAACTGTAGGACAATACCTATAGGACAAAAACACTTGATTTTAGTCGTAAATCTATATAATAAATATTTCTTTGGTTCAAATCAAATCAAAAAAAAATATTTGTCGGCCGTTTGGTGTAGTGGTTCAGAACGGACTACTATGCCGAGAGGTCCCGGGTTCGATTCCCGGCCGGGCAGAAATTGAAATGATGAATTTTAATTTCTGTGACGGGTCTGGGTGTGACTACTGACTATGTATAATATTTATGTATTTAAAAAAAGTATATAAGTAGTATATCCGTTAAGCTAGCACCCATAACACAAGCATTAAGTTGCTTACTTTGGGGCTAGCTGGCGCTGTGTGAAATTGTCCAAAGATTTTTTTTATTTTTTTTTATTTATTCAATTTAGAGCGGTATTTTGGCACCTAAGAACGTCAAAAATTAAGGGGCACTTTACATGTCTCCTTATCTTTAAGAATAAAAATAGAACGACCGTCTCTGAAGGGTATATTCAAGCAGAAAAAGGTAAGTATCTTTAATATTTTCTACTGAAAGAGTGCTACATTTACGTCAAAGCTCTATAATAACCGACAGAACTTGTAAAATACGTCCTTACCGGACCGTAAATTTAAAGACACATTTTTAAATCCCTAATGCCCGATTTCACCATCAATACCTAATTTTAAATTACCCTTATGAAAACAAAATTCCTGTTATGTGTTACCATAGGGGTCACTTAAAAATCAGGAATTGATGGTGAAAACGGGCATTATACAAATTTTGGCTCAACAAGTTTTCATTTTTTCTAAGCTTTAAAGAAGACCCCGCCGGATTGTAGCAGCTTTATTGTAGGATGGTCGTGACTCCCACGCATCTCCAAGACATACATATCCTGGTCAGTGATCAGGGAAGCCTTGCATCCCTTATGGTAGTCCACACAATTCCACCGGAATTTATTAAACAAGGTAGACCGTTTGCGGTTGTACGCGTAGTCCCGCCAGAGCAAGGCTTGAGAGCCACTGGAAAACTTGATAATTTTTCCTGGAAAAATATAAGTAGATTGAAATACAGTTCATGTTAGATTAAGCTATGAAGTTGATTTTATACCTACTCGATATGTTGATTGCTTCTGTAATGAAGATCTTTAAAATTATTTTTTTTTATTTTTTTTTATGCATAACAAGGCAGGAATGACCGCAATCGCACCTGGTGTTAAGTGATATGCAGTATAGGATGGTACATGTCTGCCCTGTACAGTGTACATGCCTATTCACTCTCGCCTTAAAAAGAATATAAAAACAGATTACGGATAAAAATAATAGATTTTAGCTTAGAAATGAAATCATTTATATTTTGGTTCAATTAAAATCAATCAGTGTCATCCACACGTGTAAAGATTCAAAAAGTCGTGAAAGGCATAGTTTAAATTATGAACTCATTTAATTAACTTACAATAACAGTACTTATCTACTAATTATAAAATCTTAATATTTAAATTTTAAATTTTGATCACATTCCGTTCCAAAATTGTTTCCAAACTCCATTAATATCAATTAATATAATATATAAATATTATTAATATTTTACTCCTAAAGGAATTCCTTTGGTAGGTAACATTAAAATTTAACTTCAACACTTTTTATAAAACAACAAAACTTACGATATATTAATATAGATATATTGGAATGTCATAATAATATCATTATTAATGAACATACAATATGTAAATAACATTAGTATAAAAATAGATTTATGTACACATTCACCGTCATAGTAAGAAAACAAAACAAACAACTTAAAAAACTAAAAGTTAAATATTATATTATAATAAGTAATAATACTTTCTGATTGGCAATGTAAAACAATATAACGTAAATGTAATTTACCTTGTATTTTTATTACCGAAACCGGTATTAACAGTGATTTAACTTGTTAAGAATATTACTGAAATGAAACTGAAAAATCTTCTAACATTACAAAATTTAGTTTCTTTTTAAATCTTAAAGCAACATGTTTTTAAATAACTAGCCACAGATCAATTAACGTACATAAACGGGGATTACAAAATTAAATTCTGTATCAGTTATACATTATTATTATATGCATATTATATCAAAATCAAAATTTATCATTTACATAATATAAAACACTCGTAGCAAAGAAAATAGAGCCCACGTCATTCTTGCATTATAATATTTAATTGTTAGTAAAAAATGTTATACATAATTATAATTAAACATTTCCAATTATTAAATATGACAAATGTTTCGACAACACAGGCGCTACAGCACGAGGAGAGCAGATCTAAAACATGGGAAATGGGTAGGATAAAAAAGAAGAAGAAGAGTCAATTAATAATATAAATAGATATTGAAATGTCTCTGTTGATTTGAGCATTGGAAAGATTAACATTACAGTTTGTTGAAATACCTAGTCTAGATTTATCCCCTTAATAATATAAAAGTTGAACTTTACTTTATAGTGACATATCAGTAAGGGGTAAGTCTTTAGTATTAGTAGACCCAGCTAAAATTACCAAAGTAATTATGCTTTTTAAAGTAAAAGAAAATATTTGGCAATTAACAGTTGTGACATTGACATTATTGCATTAAAAAATCAATTCCACGGCAGAAAAATGAGAAAAAATTAAGTATGAGAATGCAACCCTGTGGTAGAGACAATAACGCCATCTATAGTGACTGCGGAGGCTTTACATTTGTGTTTGTGTTTCTTGGAGCACGTCCATCTGATGCGGTCCCCGATGAGCGAGCGAGAGTGCCTGAAGTACTTGTGCCCTCCGATGTATATGTTGGTGGATTCTCTAGCGAAGCGAGCGCGCAGTATCGCTGAAACTAAATCTGTAATAAAAAAGTTTTATTCAAACATTATTCTTTCTTCCACTCTTGTTAAAATTAATATTAAGATTATGTAGTTAATGATATTTCAAAACATATTATTTAATACATTGTGATGCTTCTGAACGCAAACGTCACGTCTTTCAAAATACCTTCATTCATAATTTTGAAAGCACTTAAAACTAAATTAGAATGTAACAAAATTATAAGTAGCTTTAACGATGTGATGTAAAAACGATACTTTATTTTTGATGAATTAAGGGTTTAAATAAATACTCATGATGTTATTTTTAAAAAGCTTTATATTTATTTAACGTAAGTAGTATGTTTCATGGACAAGTTTCCAATTTTTTTCTTTTAATAAATCCTGAAAATATAACTAAAACTAATAATAACCGTGAAAGAATCATGAAAATATCTCTACAAATACAAAAGTTATAGGGCCCTAATGTTTTCAACATTACGAAACTTCTCCATTATTATTAACTATTGATTAGACATTTTTTTTTAATACCAGCTATGCATTCAAGGCACAAAAAAACTTTCAAACTAATTTGACGAATCTACCATCTGGATACATGTGGTACCTCGGTGGTTCGTGGTTGTGTTCCTCGTACAAATAAGTTATGTTCTGCTGATCCTTGTCAGTGCGCAGTTTCGCTTTGCACCCGTATTTCAGTTTAGTACAATAATAATAACGTGGTTTGTTCTGTGCGTACGTGAAGCTGTTCACCATTAGCAAGTCGTTCTTTCCGTGAATACTGGGTATCTTGAACACTGTAAATTAAAATATTATTCCATCAGTTTTCTTCATAGATAAAGTTGCTTACCTGTATATTTCATTAAAAATTACATCAATAAAACACAAAGTTTTTTTTAAATAAAGATTTATGATCATTTTGGACATAGAACAACGTTACTTTTTTTATCCACAACGAGGAAGCTCTTGGCCTGTATCTCACCTGATGGTAACGAAAAAATGAAAATGAAAAAAAAATATTAAAATATTTATTGCCAGAATCAAACAATACAATAACTAAAAGACAGACCTCCACACTAGGCATTGCCTGTCCTGTGTAGAAAAGAATAAGATTTACAGGTTGAATTAGTACGGCTAAGCTGAAGCGTTATTGGAAGCAATAAATCAAAATATGAAAAGTACACAAAAGATGAAAAGATGAAGTTTTATATAATTCAACAATATCTGAGTATGATCAAAAATACATAAAGATTTGGATGAAATACTTATTTTTTTTGGGGCAAAAGGCATAATCAAAGGCATATTTTATTTTTTTATGCACCACAAAGCAGGTATTTGACTGCAATCATACATGACGATAAGTGAGATACAGTGTAGGCTGGTACATACCTGCCCTGTAAGTGCCTATTCACTCTCACATTGAAGAGGTTCGGAGTAATTTAGTTTTCGTTCGTTCGTTTCAGCAGACGTCCACTGCTGGACAAGCTAATTTAGTTTACTTTGATGAATTTCCCATCTGAAGTAACATGGTACTCCGGGGGTTCGTGGTTGTGTTCCTCGAACAAATAAGTCAGGTTCAGATCCTGGTCGGTGCGCAGTTTCCCTTTGCACCCGAGTCTCTTCTTAATGCAATAATAATAACCCGGTTTGTGCTGTGAGTAAGTGAAACCGTTCACCATTAGCACATCCTTCTTCCCATGAATACTGGGTATAATGAACACTGTAAATTAAAATATTATTCTATCAGCCTTCTTATAAAGCTTACCTGTTATTACATTACAAATTACATAAAGAAAACACAAGATTTTTTGTAAAATAAAATTTTATGATCTTTTTGGACGAAACAGAAGAGTAATAATGAAGTTTTATATAATTCAAAAATATCTGAGTACGATCAAAATACATAAAGATTTCGATTAAGTACTTCTTATTTTTGGGGCAAGACGAGGCATAATAAATAATAAAGGCATATTTTCTTATGCACCACGAAGCAGGTATTTGACTGCAAGCGCCCTGATGTTAAGTGGGATGCAGTCTAGAATGGTACATACCTGCCCTGTAAGTGCCTATTCACTCTCGCCTTGAAGAGGTCCGGATTAATTTAATAACTATTTATTTTGACGAATTTCCCATCTGAAGTGATACGGTACTTCGGGGGCTCGTGGTTGTGTTCTTCGAACAAATAAGTCAGATTCAGATATTGGTCGGTGCGCACTTTCGCTTTGCACCCGAGTCTTTTTTTAGTGCAATAATAATAACTGGGTTTGTACTGTGAGTAAGTGAAGCTGTTCACCATAAGCATGTCCCTCTTTCCGTAAATACTGGGTATCTTGAACACTGTAAATTGAAATATTGTTCTGTCAGTCTTCATAGACACAATTGCTTTGCTTGCCTGTAAAATTACAGAATAAAACAAGATCAAATTAGAAATTACGAGATCGAATCAGAAATGAAGAGACCTGTAAATGAACTAAAGTCCCTGACATAGCCCGACGGATTAGCAAGCTGAAGTGGCAATGGACNCCACTACTACCTACTACATACCTACTATACATATGTAGTAGGTACGCAGAACTGACGACCGATGGGGCAGCAAGGTTCTGTGCACGGAGCACGGAAAACTCTGCGTGTGACGTCCATCCACAAGGTGGACCGACGACATCATAAAGCAGGAAGGTGCTGGTCGCAGGCTGCTACCAACCGGAAAGCATTGGGGGATAGGATAGGTCCACTGCTGAACATAGGCCATGTTCAGCACTGGACGTCCTATGGCTGAGATGATGATGATGAATAAAACAAGTTTTTTTGTAACATAAAAATGTATGATCACTTTTGACATAAACCAACGTTAGTTTGGACAGAGTAAATACAAATGAGTAGTTCATCTTCATAGAAACGCACGGACGCGGTTTGTATATGAGCGCGCCAACACGTATGCGGCGCGCACGCACACACTGACAAAATTTACCAGTCGTGGTTGCGCCGAATTTTGTCAGTGTGTGCGTGCGCGCCGCATACGTATATTAGTATTTACTCTGGTTTGGATGAAACCCAAGAGACTAATAATGAAGTTTTATTCATATAATTTAACAATATCAGAGTACGTTCAAAATTACATAAAGATTTCGATTGAGTAGTTATTATTTTGGTGAAAGAGGCATATACATACCTCCCTGTGAGTGCCTAATCACTCTCACATTGAAGAGGTTCGGACTAATTTATTTTACTTTGATGAATCTCCCATCTGAAGTAACATGGTACTCCGGGGGTTCGTGGTTGTGTTCCTCGAACAAATAAATTAGAGTCTGCTGATCCTTGTGAGTGCGTAGTTTCGCTTTGCATCCGAGTCTCTTTTTAGTGCAATAATAATAGTTGGGTAAGTACTGTGAGTAAGTGAAACTGTTCACCATAAGCATGTCCCTCTTTCCGTGAATACTAGGTATCTTGAATACTGTAAATAAAAATATAATTGTATAGGCAGCTTAATTAATAAAGGACGTGGCACACTTATCAACCCGGAAAGGGATCGTAACCCTATCAACCCGAGGCAGTCAGTATTCATTGTATGAAACTCCATACTGCAACGCACACTTTATCCGCACCGTAACGTAAACGCCTCGCCTCGCGGTAGATAGGCTAGCTTTCCGAGTTGTTGATACCTTTCCAAGTTGATAAGTCAGCTATGTATTATCTTAAAGTTGAATAATAGTATCATATAAAATGGCTTTATAATAATAAAAGACAGTCAAGTTATTATAGTAGTCATAGTCATAAATGTTTATTGCATCAGTAGAATATTTCTTGTAATAATTTTGGAGATAAAACAACGTTAAACGTAAAACAACCCTTTTTTAATTTGGATAAAACCAATTGCCTTAAGTTTCAATTGAATCCACGTCAATACCTCAGCGATCAGAACAGCCTGGCATGCGAAAGATCGTAAGCTCAAAATTCCCACCTGAGGCAATTCGTTTTACTTATTTCATTTTTTTAATTTAATTTGAGAACATCTCTTAGGCTGGGTTGCACCATCTTACTTTAACTTTGACAAACGTCAAAAATCTGTCAAACTCCATACAGAAAAAACTGATTATTGTTATACCTAGTTACGGTCAAAGTTGGTGGTACAACTCATTCTTAATCTTACTAATATTATAAATGCGAAAGTTTGGATGTCTGGATGTCAGGATGTCTGGATGGATGTTTGTTACTCTTTCACGCAAAAACTACTGAACGGATTTTAATGAAACTTTACAGTTTATTTATTATAACCCAGAATAACATATAGGCTACATTTTATGACGATATGTGACAAACTAAATTTCACGCAGGTGGAGCCGCGGGTAAAAGCTAGTCTATATATATAAAAATGAAACCCGTTTCGCGTTGTCACGGCATCACGTGTGAACGGCTGAACCGATTTCGATAATTCTTTTTTTTAAATGTTTGTGGAAGTCCAAGGATGGTTCTTACGGAAAAAAATATTAAGAAAATCTCTACGCTAAGGCGGTACGAAGTTCGCCGGGTCAGCTAGTACTGAATATTTTAAAACAAATCTTTATTTTTGATTTATTTATTTTCAGCTCGCAAACTTATCTTGAAAAAAAAACCGTATTGCCTAAGGTGGAATCGAATTCATAATTTCTGTTCCCATCATAGGCAATTCGATTTTTTCAAGTTTCTTTGTTTCTTTTTAATAAACTCTCCAGTGCTTGTGATATGGTACTGCGGTGGATCATGTGTATGATCCTCAATCAGCCGTGTGATGTTCAGGTAGTCGTCAGTTCGCGCTCTAGCCGGGCAAGAGAGGCTTCGTTTCTTCGTGCAATACCAGTAATTCTTCAGGTATTCGGAAAATGTGAAACCATTCACCATCATCAACTTTTTCCTTTTATACCTACTAGGTATTAATTGCACTGAAATTAGAAAAAAATATATTTACCTGTTCTATTTAAAAACACACCTACCTTTAAAAAGTATAAAGTTTGTTCATTTTATAATATAAATACTAAAAGACATACGAGTATACCTTTCCTCTTTGTAATATAAGTATGATAAGAGTGGGCGCACACCGTTGATTTTTAGTTGGCCGATAGTTGTGCCCGATTTTAATTTGTATGAAGAATCAGCCAAATCGAATCGGCGCAGTGTGCGCACTCCCATACATGCCCATACTGATCAACTGCCCGACTAAACTATCGGCCGACGAAAAATCAACGGTGTGCGCCTACTCTAAGGGATTAGGATTTTAATAATTCATATACTTATACATTTATTGCACAATATTTTGGAAATATGAGAAGATTTTGGACATATTTTTCATTTAGTTTGCTCTACCACCACTTCAGGACAACTCAACTGGTGCTTAGAAGTGTCGGTAGAAACTCAGTCACCTTAGATCTACTAACCTCATAATACTTATCTTAACTCTGATTACAAAACGAGTGAATGTCAAAAATGTCACTACTCATAAACATTAGCAAGTTAAAATAATTTTTCGTGCGTAGACGCCCATACAGATCATGTAATATTATTATACGAGTATTATCGTTGTAGGAGATTTGGGATAGGATTGGGATGGGATAACTTCAATTTAAAGCAGACTCCGCAGGACGGTCCAAGCTTGGCCGTTTCTTTCTTCTTTCACTTCACAAATACACTTGAATTTTTATGGGTTGGTTTTAGCGCGCGAGAGGTGTTATTTGAGTTGGTTTATTTTGGATACTTATTTCGTATTAACGCCCAAATAGGTAGGCGATGCGGCGCGTTGCAATGCGAAAGCGAGACTGAAGGTGGAAGGGAGAAGAAGGGAAAAGACTTTCAGAGTGAGTGATAGAGAATAGTGTGACATGAGTTTGAATTGTTTGAGGTTTTAATACTGGCGCGTACAATCGTCACTATGGGAGACTGGGTACGCTTGTAACAGGGTACGGTTGTAACAATTCAACCGTAGCTCGGTAGGTGAGGGGTACAAAGGGAAGGGCAAGTAAGGCTGTATGGACTTGTCACCTGCGTGACCTTTCCCTTGTACCCCTCACTCACCTACCGAGCATTGTTCGAAAATATTTGATTTGTACCTACCCTGTACCCTGTTACAACCGTACCCAGTCTACGCTACTAAGGGACTATACATACTATTAGAGCTTATTCCATCTAATAGTGTGAGTGATTCCGAGCATACTTTACAACACAGTCGTTCATCGTCCAAACTCGACTGGTGCAGCCGATGTTGCGCTGGTTGCACCGCCATACCACCTTCCCAAGGCTCCGCCTTGCCTCGTTGAAGATATTACTGCCTATTACGAGGTTCCGTCTACCGTTCCTCCTGAAAACAAATTTGGCTGAAAAGAAAATACAGATTTAGTCATGAACTTTAAATACAGACGATGGCTCTATCTAAACATTTATACCCTTATTCAAAATAAAGCAAACAGCACATCAAACCTATTTTGACTAATGCAATGTTTTGTCACTTTCTATCAAATGGTGACAGCAAAAAGTAGGAACGAGATAAAACAGTTTATTAAGCTGTTTGCATTATTATAAATAAGGGTATTACCATCTTAGCTGTTGATAGGGAAGGAAAATTTCCATTTATTTCATGAAGCATTTTATTGATGAATCACGTCATGTTATAAGTTGTTAATTATACCAAATTGACATAAAGCAAAGCTAAACCATAGGTTCAATTATGTAAAGCAATCGTATTCATTTGACAGTTCAAAACGTACGATAAAATCTGTTTAACAAAGCGTTTGACAGAATATAGAATATAGCGTACGTTTTGAACTGTCCAATGAATACGATTGCTTTACACAATTGCACCTCTGACACATGCCAATAAATTAACATTTCACAAGCAAGGTATTATTTACTTAGCTCTTACCTACTGTCTGATCTTAATGTCTTACACTGAATTCACTACTATGCGTTACACTACACGTTTTAACGTTTTTACATATTAAGCCAATAAATATACCTCTGTTAACTATTATTAGTCGCCCATTCTGAGCTTAAAATAGTCTACAACCCTTAGGCTGAGCACCTTACTTTAACTGTAACTATAACCATAACCGGTATTTTTGTTTGACGTTTGTTATTGTTAAAGTAAGATGGTGCTACCTGGCCTTATTTGTTAAACGTGATTTGAAATATGATAACTGCACTTAATCAAAAACGCGTTTTCTGCATCTTTTAAAATTTATTATCTAAATTTTAGTAAGTAAGCAATCAGTAGATTATGACATGTATTATAACAGTATGACAGTAGAATAAAGTACTATTGGAATGTTACATCAGCATGCTTGTGTATCACAAATTACAATCGTAACCTACACACAACACTTTGATATCAAATACACCATAATCAATCAACAAATCGACTCGTCCGAAGTAGACTGAGTAGGTGAAGTTTAAATCGTTGGCATCCTTTTGAAATAAGACTTTACCCATGACACACAGTACATTCCCTAAATATGAGACAAATCCAATGAGTTAAAATTGCAATCATTAAAACGAATGTCTCACAGGGAGTGCTCTGAAGAATTGTCCGGACTTATTCCTGCCGCTACTTTTCGCCACCGATTTACCCGACAGCACTTCCATCCCCATCACTTAGATGGTTGGCTGTCCACAACAGTAAGTTTCTCTAGAAACTTCCTGCCCCGTACAACCAAACTGTGGAATGGACTGTCGTCTGCGGTGTTTCCAGATACGACCTAGAAAGCTAGCACTTTCAAGAAGAGAGCGTATCTTCACCTTAAAGGCCGGCAACGCACCTGTAACGCCCCTTGGTCTGCAGGTGTCTATGGGCGACGGTAATCACTTACCATCAGAAGATCCGTCTGCTCGTTTGCTTCTTGTCACGTAAAAAAACCTTGAACAGACGACAGCACGTCAAGATTATCACCGTGGCATCTTAATTTGATATACATAGTAATAAGTATTATTTTGCAACAGCAATGTATAATCTGATGTGCTGTTGACTGTAAACTCTATTTACAACAAGTACCTAATTGTAAAAATAAAGACAAAAAATCATTAGATTTGTCATAACTTTGGGGAATGCACTATTTTCATCACGAGTAGTCTTATATTAAGATGCCGATGATTTAAATTTCATCCTGTATATTTATTATACAGTCATGTCTGTGAACAGGCGCTGCTTTCGGGGACTGGTCAATCCAAGTTATTCAAATTTATGTATGCGAGTCATTTCTACTAGTATCTTAATATGTAAGTCTAGATATTAGCACGTCACTACCTTGTTTAATATACCACGCAATCTTGTATACCCATTCTTATAAGATACACCATACAAGAATGCATGGTAAATTCAGTGAACTGCTCCTGAATCGAATGTACCTACTACTACTATTTCTATTTATTTATATTAACCGGCAGACAGTGGTGACTGAGTTTGTTGCGGCGCTTCTTCTCAGCACTTGCCAAATGTTGGTCTCGAAGCGCTGGTAGGGTAAAAAGATTATGAGACATGTAGAGGCTCCTTAAGAGCAAAATGACGATTTGTAAGAACTATTTATTAGTCCAAACAAATAAAGAAATTTTGACTTTTGACTGATTACAATCTTTGACAAACTGTCACGCGGGCGAAGCCGGGGGCAAATGCAAAAGTTCTTCATGGACCTGGCCTGGACCTCCTAGACTTGCACCTGCTACTACTTTAGTCTACTTAATAAAGGCTACTTTGCTTCATAAGCATGACGATTTTAATTCATTCATTCATTTTATGAAGTACTTTAATGATTTCAATTAAGTACCTAACGCGTTTCTTCGGCCTGACCAATGCCACTGCCATCGTCAAAAATTCATTTAATCAAGTTTTATCTTTTACAGAAAATTTTACAAATGATTTTGTTGCAAAATTGCCAAATTTTATAATCCAGTAATGGTATCCTTCCGTTTGGCCAAATTACTTTTCGCCAAATTACACTTCGCAAACAACTTATCGCCATAGTTTCATTTCCCAAATGAACTTTTAGCAACTGTACTTTTCGCAACTAATTCATTTGGTCAAATTATCATTTGGCAAAATTTTACTTGGCAAACGTTTATATAGCAAATCTTTTATTTTGCCAAACATTATATCCCAAATAATTTGTTTGGTCAAATTGACACTTCACATACTTACCCACCGTTACCCACAAATCAAAGCATAAGGCACATGATCGTGGTTTTCACAAGAATTTTATGTAAAACAAAGAGACTGCAGAAAATAGTATGGTTGCAGAAAGTAGGTATTGCGGAAAATAGTAGGTTAGGTTAGGTTAGAACAGTGACCCTTAACGACGACTAGAATCACCTCTATTGTTAATCAATCATTTGGAAACGTCGATATAAAGAATGAATTATTATTATGAAAATTAATTTGGAACATATATTAACTACCCACTAAACAAAATAATAACGACAAGCTAATTTGTATTCCATTCTATGCACCAATCAAATTGTTTCGTAAATAGTTTATCGTGAAATATTTTTTGCCAAATGAAATATTTGGCAAAACATACTTTGCCAAACAATAATTTGCTAAACAATAATATGCCAAAAACGACATTTGCGAATTAAAAGTTTGCAATAAGTTGTTTTGCCAAATGAGAATTTGCCAAATGAAAATTTGCGAAACGTTTTTTGCCATGTGATAATTTGGGAAACGTTTTTTGGCCAAACATTAGTAATCCCCAGTGATGAAAAAGCTCTAAAGCTCAATAGAAGAACTGAATAACGACACAAGTTCTCATTCATGATTATGTGATCCGCATTGCATGACCACGCCACTAAAGGTGCTCACGTAAGCCTTGCAGCCTTTGTTCTTCTTGTTACACCTCCAGAAAACCTTCTTGTTCATTTCATAATCCTTATCAAATCGGTGCTTGCCTATTTTAATGGCTTGCTTCCCCAAACGAGTCTTGAAGATGATTCCTGAAATTTAAAAATTATAAATAACTTGAAAAAATCGAACTGCCTAAGGCGGGATTCCTGAAATATCAATGAACCTTAATACAAGACATCGTATAGAAAAAGTTATTACAAATTCCAAAATTTTTTTGACGAATTTTTCTTTACTCAAATTTTAGTCAAGATTCTGTAAATATTTTTGCACAAAAAGTTACTTTTGGTTTACATCAAAAGTAATAATTACCATCAGCTGAATTGCTTGATCCTTCATCAGCGTCATCATTTATTTTTGATGATGTAGTTGATGATGATGGTGTTGGCTGAGTTTCGTTTCTAAGTGGCGTTGTTTCTGGCACGGCAATACTAGCGACCGTGTCAATTTTACATATGGCAGGGCCTTCAACATCTTTTTCCAAAGACTTTTTAATCGGGACTTCGACACTCTTCAAACCTTCGTGATCTCTAGTGTGGTTGTGTTTCTCGTTGAGCTTCAGAATATTGTTGCCAGCTGAGTACACGTAGATTGTGGCTGGGCAATTGTAAATCTTATTTACAGAGCAAACCCACCTAGTTTCACCACTATTTGTCGTTTCTTTGCAGTACTTATATCCGTCAACCATCATAGTGATAGTAGCTGGATTTGAAATTTTTGGCACTGAAACAAAAGAGCATGGTTAAAAATGTTCGATTTTTTTATTCTTTTAGACTTCATGAATTTAAAATATATGTTACGGTTAATGTGATAAATTGAAAATTATTAATAATAACCGGTTATTATGAATAATTACCGACAGTCGCGGTAAAAGTGATAAATTAATCACATTTAACAGTGATTATTTAATAATTCAACCTTAGTACTAACAAATTTCTTAAAAGAGAACAACATCTTGTGTACGTGCTCGTGTACAGCCAAACTTTTGAACGTTTTGATATCATATATTAACCTTTAACTACCGACCTATACGTCTCTCAGACGTAATAAATTTTCATTTTGAAATATTTCTAAAATCACGCCACCTTCGGCGTCACCTCTCCTGCTACCTTCCTCCCTCCGCGTCGCAAACCACCACTCGACGTCGCGTCCGCGGCAAGTTCATATGTCTCCGTATCGAAGCGATCGACGTCTCACAGACGTAAGTACGGTGTTTATGTAACAACATTTTGTACGCATAAACAAGGGCGAAATAAGTCGTGGCCGAATTTTATCCTCGCTAGGACGTGAATTAGTCCTCCCAGAAATGAAACTACGTGTTTACAATGATAGAATCCTATCGAGCGAGTTTTAGGACCCGCCGATATGCCCGAGGCTATACCACCAAAAAATTATCCAAATCCAGATTATTCCAGATCCAGGTGTTAGAAAGACGTGTGACATCTGTCCCGTTTGGTTGAAAAGGCGAACGAGTACTGTTGCTGCAAATTTAAGAAACCAATCTACCTTACTTGCTGCCTACAAATATGCAGTGACTGCAAACGTACGTAGTCAATGTACCAAATATTCAAGTGCTGTCAGTTTTTTTATATTAAAACTAAGAAGTAAGATTTATGTTTCATTTCGATATTTGTTTACAGAAGATAACATATTTTCAGTTCATTCGTTTTTTAATATTTAATTTTAGAGAAAAATAAGACTAAAGTAAGTCCTTAAAATTAAGTGCCAAATAATCGTGACCTCTCGAATAAATGTTGATTTTACCTGAAAAATAACGTGTATTTTTTTGAAATCCTGTAGTTTACTTACCTCAAATAACAATCTTTTTAATGCATAAANCATCCTTTTGAAATAAGACTCTACCCATGACACACAGTACATTCCCTAAATTTGAGTCAAATCCAATGAGTTAAAATTGCAATAATTAAAACCTTGAACAGACGACAGCACGTCAAGCATAACACTATGGCATCTTATTTCGATGTAATAGGTATTATTTTGCAAAAACAATGTACAGTCTGGTGTGCTGTTGACTGTAAACTCTTTATAAGAGCACGCTATTACAAATAATTGTAATAATAAAGACAAAAAATCTCATTGGATTTGTCTTATATTTGGGGAATGTATTATTTATTTAAACAGGCTGTATATTTTAACAATCTGTGACAAACTGTCCCGCAGGCGAAGCCGAGGGCAATTGCTCGTGTATTTTAAGTTTTTCTTGGACCTGGTCTGGATCACCCGTTAGTTGGGATGAGACTTGCACCTGCTACTACCTTAGTCTACTTAATAAAGGCTAATCTACTTTGCTTCTTAAGCATGACGATTTTAATCAATTCATACATTTTATTAAATACTTTGATGATTTTAATTAAGTAACGCGTTTCTTCGGCCTGACCAATGCCACTGCCATCGTCAAAAATTCATTTAATCAAGATTTATCTTTTACGGACAATATTACAAAATATTCTTTTGCAAAATTGCCAAATTGTATAATCCANTTTGTAACGTTGCCAAGTTGTGATTGTTGTTGGAATCTAGGACTTCGTTATTAAACTTCTTTTAATAAAATAAAGGGTTTAATATAATCATTTTTTTATTTTTACTTAAATTAATAAAATTACATTAAAAAGATCTCGCTGGTACTTGAAGTGTTACGGGTAGAGCCTTACCTAGTTATTTTTATATCCGTTCAAGTTCAAGTTTACGAATTCCAAGTGTTTTGACCGAATATTTGCATTGGCACAATTTGTTTTGTAAAGATCAGTTCTGGAAATATATTTTGTACAAAAGTTTCATTTTGCTTCTTCATTAAAAGTTATGTTTTTGTATTTACCATGAAAGAAACTAAGTCAACTGACTTAACTTCTTGGGGCGTATTTTCTGGACCGGCAACGTTGGCCCTATCTTCTTACATAATATGCCTGGACCACGAACATACACATCCTTTTTATATGCCTTATCTACATTATCCTGGACTTTCTTCAAATCTTCATTGTCTGTAGGGTGGTTGTGTTTTTCGTTGAGCTTCAGAACACAGTTATTCGCAGTGAACGAGTAGATGGTGGCTGGGCAATTGTGAGTTTTACTTCCAGAACAAACCCACATAGTTTCTTCAGTATTAACTGTTTGTTTGTAGTACATATATCCGTCGACCAGCATAGTAATGCCATCCAGATAATATAGTCTCCAGTTTTGGCACTGAAAAAAGGCATGGTTAGAAATACCTATTCAATAGTGCCCAGGAAATCAAACCCGGAGTTGTGATGATTGAAATAAAAAAAACATATTTATTTCATAGATGGTGCAACCCGGCTTTATTTGTCAAACGTTAAAATAACTGCACTTTATTAAAAACGTGTTTTCTGCATCTTTTAAAATTTATTATCTACATTTTAGGAAGTAAGCAATCAGTAGATTATGAAATGTATTATAACAGTATGACATTAGAATAAAGTACTATTGGAATGTTTCCATCAGCATGCTTGTGTATCACAAATTACAATCGTAATCTACACACAACACTTTGATATCAAATACACTACAATCAATCAACAAATCAACTCGTCTGAAGTAACAGAAAATATCCTACCTAATCTATATCCTACCCTACTATACAGGTGAAGTTTAAATCGTTGTCATCCTTTNTGAGTCTTACTTCCAGAACAAACCCACCTAGTTTCTTCAGTATTAACTGTTTGTTTGTAGTACATATATCCGTCGACCAGCATAGTAATGCCATCCAGATAATATACAGTCTCCAGTTTTGGCACTGAAAAAAGGCATGGTTAGAAATACCTATTCAATAGTGCCTAGGAAATCAAACCCGGAGTTGTGATGATTGAAATAAAAAAAAACATATTTATTTCATAGATGGTGCAACCCGGCTTTATTTGTCAAACGTTAAGATAACTGCACTTTATTAAAAACGTGTTTTCTGCATCTTTTAAAATTCATTATCTACATTTTAGTAAGTAAGCAATCAGTAGATTATGAAATGTATTATAACAGTATGACATTAGAATAAAGTACTATTGGAATGTTTCCATCAGCATGCTTGTGTATCACAAATTACAATCGTAATCTACACACAACACTTTGTTAACAAATACACCACAATCAATCAACAAATCAACTTGTCTGAAGTAACAGAAAATATCCTACCTAATCTATATTCTACCCTACTATACAGGTGAAGTTTAAATCGTTGGCATCCTTTTGAAATAAGACTCTACCCATGACACACAGTACATTCCCTAAATTTGAGTCAAATCCAATGAGTTAAAATTGCAATAATTAAAAAACCTTGAACAGACGACAGCACGTCAAGCATAACACTATGGCATCTTATTTCGATGTAATAGGTATTATTTTGCAAAAACAATGTACAGCCTGGTGTGCTGTTGACTGTAAACTCTTTATAAGAGCACGCTATTACAAATAAAAAGACAAAAAATCTCATAGGATTTGTCTTATATTTGGGGAATGTATTATTTATTTAAACAGCCTGTATATTTTAACAATCTGTGACAAACTGTCCCGCAATTGCTCGTGTATTTTAAGTTTTTCATGGACCTGGTCTGGATCATCCGTTAGTTGGGATGAGACTTGCACCTGCTACTACCTTAGTCTACTTAATAAAAAGGCTAATCTACTTTGCTTCATAAGCATGACGATTTTAATCAATTCATTCATTTTATTAAATACTTTAATGATTTTAATTAAGTAGGTAACGCGTTTCTTCGGCCTGACCAATGCCACTGCCATCGTCAAAAATTCATTTAATCAAGATTTATCTTTTACGGACAATATTACAAAATAGTTTTTTGCAAAATTGCCAAATTTTATAATCCAGTGATGAAAAAGCTCCAAAGCTCAATAGAAGAACTTAATAACGACACAAGTTATAAGAACTCATTGATGATTATGCGATCCGCATTGCATGACCACGCCACTAAACGTGGTCACGTAAGCCTTGCAGCCTTTGTTCTTCTTGTTACATCTCCAGAAAACCTTCTTGTTCATTTCATAATCCTTATCAAATCGGTGCTTGCCGATTTTAATGTGTGTTTTCCCCAAACGAGTCTTGAAGATGATTCCTGAAATTTAAAAAATATAAATAACTTGAAAAAATCGAACTGCCTAAGGCGGGATTCCTGAAATATCAATGAAACTTAATACAAGACATATATATAGAAAAAGTTATTACAAATTCCAAAATTTAGTCAAGATTAAGTAAATGTTTTTGCACAAAAAGTTACTTTTGGTTTACTTCAAAAGTAATAATTACCATCAGCTGAATTGCTTGATCCTTCATCAGCGTCATTATTTCTTTTTGATGATGTAGTTGATGTTGACTGAGTTTCGTTTCTAAGTGGCGTTGTTTCTGGCACGGCAATACTAGAGACCGTATCAATTTTACATATGGCAGGGCCTTCAACATCTTTTTCCAGAGACTTTTCACTCGGGACCTCGACACTCTTCAAACCTTCGTCTTCTCTCGTGTGATTGTGTTTCTCGTTGAGCTTCAGAATATTGTTGCCAGCTGAGTACGAGTAGATGGTGGCTGGGCAATTGTAAATCTTATTTACAAAGCAAACCCACCTAGTTTCACCACTGTTTGTCGTTTCTTTGCAGTAATTATATCCGTCGACCATCATAGTGATAGTAGCTGGATTTGAATTCCTTATTTCTGGCACTGAAACAAAAGAGCATGGTTATAAATGTTCGATATTTTAATTCTTTTAGATTTCATGAATTTAAAATATACATTTTAATCGTTTAATAAACTAACATAATTATGATGCCAAGATATCCTAATTCCTAACATTGTTAGTGAAAAAAACAAATTTTTAATTTTCAAAATTTTCAAAGCTCGACGTGAAGAGGAAAATCTGGGCAAAGATGGCGGCCTAATAAAGCAGCCCGCACACGAAATGAATTGCCTAAGATTGGGATTGTTGTTGGGGTCTGGGAATTCGTAATTAATAAAAACAAAAGAAAAGATTTAATATAATGCAATTTTTATTTTTACTTCGTTCGTTCATTCGTTCGTTTCAGCCGAAAGACGTCCACTGCTAGACAAAGGCTTCCCCAAAGAGTTTTTTGGCCGAATATTTGCATTGGCAAATTTTAATCAATTTATTTTGTAAAGATCAGTTCTGTAAATATTTTTGTACACGTTTAATTTTGCTTCTTCATTAAAAGTTGTTTTTGTATTTACCATGAAAGAAACTAAGTCAACTGACTTAACTTCTTGGGGCGTATTTTCTGGACGGGCAACGCTGGCCCTATCTTCTTACATAATATTCCTGGACCACGGACATACACATCCTTTTTATATGCCTTATCAACCTTATCCTGGACTTTCTTTAAATCTTCTTTGTCTCTAGGGTGGTTGTGTTTTTCGTTGAGCTTCAGAACACAGTTATTCGCAGTGAACGAGTAGATGGTGGCTGGACAATTGGAAGTCTTACTTCCAGAACAAACCCACCTAGTTTCTTCAGTATTAACTGTTTGTTTGTAGTACATATATCCGTCGACCAGCATAGTAATGGCATCCAGATAATATACTGTCTCCAGTTTTGGCACTGAAAAAAGGCATGGTTAGAAATACCTATTCAATAGTGCCTAGGAAATCAAACCCGGAGTTGTGATGATTGAAATAAAAAAAACAACTGTATTTATTTCATAAATTTTAATTTACATATAGGTTACGATACCTACTACGTTAACAGAAAAGGAAAATACATAGTATACGACAAAAAATATCCAAAATCGTCTAAAACTTCACAATATGCCATTTTATAGGCATTATAATAAATATAAACATACAATGTCGCCCAGGCGCAAATGACCGCCACAAATATTTTAAATATTGATAAAAAAATATTAAGAAAAACCTTAGAAAAGTAAGGGAGGATGACTGTATTATTTCCAAGTTGTTTACTTTTCAAATTTTTGAGTAGAGACGGTGACCCTGTTTTACATTATTTGCCACATCTTCAATGTTTATTTTCAGTGTTATTAAACAGAAACTGCTAACATTAATAAAAAAAGGTCAAGTACAACCCGGTCCAATTAACTGTGCAACTGGCAGCCGTGACGTCATGTCGAAACTGGTACGGATGATGGGGCGAACGCCGAGAGGTGTGCGGTAGGCTGGTTTTAGAGTCACGCTGACCGTCAGCGCTGACAGCCGCAATGTATGAAGCGTCGGCGCCGAGCGATCAGCGTCACTCAGGAACTTTCCCTTCAATTACATACATATTGATCTGTCAGCGCCGACGATCAGCAAGCGGTCAGCGCGAATCTAAAACCCGCCGTAGAGTGCGAGAGAGTCGCATTCCAGCAAGGTGCGCAGTTAGCTCAATTGTAGTAATTAAAATTATCACATAAATAGGGGTTTTGTTCTTTATTTAAAATTTATATTCACTAAATATCAAAAAGCGCACGGAGCACAAACACGTAATGTCTCGGGATAAGTAGCCGAACAACTGAATGAAGTACCAGCTAGCCAAGAAACCCTTGCATGGTGTACGCTCCATTGTTGCAAGACCCTTTTTATTGGTTCTTACCTGTGCGACACCCTCGACGACTTGATACTTTTTGAAGAATAATTTACATTAATTTTTTGAAGATATAATAACTTACAATGTATGTGATTTTGTGAGTTACGTCACAAATTAATATAATAAATAATAAAAACAACATATAATGTGATCATTATAAGAAAAATACGGTACCCTAAAAAACACTGATTTGAAAAAAATGTCCAAATACCTTTTTTTATTAAAGTTAGGAGTTGTTAACTATAATAACGTTAAATTACCAATAAAGTAACTCATAAGCTTAATAAATATCAAAGAAAACTGAAATTGAGCCAGTAACGAGCCAAACAATTCAAAGCAATATCACCGTCTCTACTCAAAAAATACCTTGAAAAATAATACAGTTAAAAGTTTTTAAGGATCCGTAATTCCGTATAATACATTTCGTTTTGGCCAATTACTTTAGCAGAAAAATTGATTAAAAAGTTTAAAGTACGACCGTTTAAATGAGTCCTCGCCTGCGAAACGTTTACCGTTAACTACTTCACTGTGACGTCACATATCAGAAGAAGCGGGCGGGGTCGTTAGACATGAGATAAAATCAAAAAGTTCACTAGATAGTTCTCAAGATATTATATGACGTCACAGTGAAGTGGTTAACGTTAAACGTTCCGCAGGCGAGGTCTTATTTAAGCGGTCGTACTATAGTTAGTTGTAAGTCAAAACCTATTTTGAACTACAATCAAAAACACCACCAAGTAAGTATCACGAAACAAGAATAACATTTTTAAACAATAAGCAACAGACAGAGGAACCATTCTAATCACCTGCTAAATTGACTACATAACTTCTACAAGTTCTGTGGACTAGTTGTAAGTATTATGCATAGAATGTGGACTAGTTAGTTGTAGGTAATATATGTGTCAACGTGAAATTGTGAACTCTGTCAGTTTATAATATAACGCGTTAGATTGTAAACTAACAGTGGGTTAGGTTATGTTAGAATGTAATTTAACTACGTCAGATTCATTTAGAAACTACGTAAAAGATTCTGCTACGAAATGATTGGAGACAAATACACCTTGTATAATAACCGTTACTCCGGTTGAATATGAATTCCCTGTCCCGAACCAAAGACTACGTCTACGGCAGGATTTTTCGCCGAGCATCGCAGACCAAGCCATGGTTGTGTTTCCACTCATCCACCCTGATGACTACGTTGGCCATGGTGATCGCACAAGCAGTGCACCCCGAGTTCCTCTTGCCACACCTCCATAAAACCCTCCCGTCAGCCTCGTCCTTGTGCTTGTGGAATCTATGGCCGTTCACGATGAGCACCTGCCTCCCTTGGCGAGATGGTACGAAGTACGCTTCACCTGGAAAACAAATGATATTTGAAAATTCTTCACTTGAATTTGGGGCTACTTTTATATTATAACTTTTAATGTGAGCGAGCCCTTAAGGGAGCCTTCTGGAGATAAACAAATCTCCAGTCAAGCAGTTATATGTATGTAGATAATAGATCAAGAGTTAGTGGATAGACTCTAACATTTTAACACATTGACGGTAGTAAAGAATGATACGACAGAACGTCTATAGACGTCATAGTTGTTACTCGTTTTACATTAACACTACTCCCATAGGCAATGTATGTGAATAAGTATCATCGTGTTGGGAATTATTAATTCTTAACTTGTGCTGTCCACCTAAGTGTTAATAATATAATAGGCAATTTGTGTGATCTCCGATTTAAGATCCCTTGGAACTTTCCATTACACATTTATGCAAAGTCCAAAGTATGTTATTTGTTCATGTTTATATTTACCTTGAACTGATATAATTTTTTTTATAGGGGGCGTCGTTTCTGGCTCGGTGACGCTCGCGACCGTATCTTCGTTGTCTCTAGGGTGGTTGTGCTTCTTATTGAGCTTCAGAACACAGTTGCTTGCGGTGATGGTGGCTGGACAATTGTAGGTCTTACTTGCAGAGCAAACCCATCTAGTTTCTTCATTGTTTCCCATTTCTTTGCAATACTTATATCCGTCAACCAGCATAGTGATAGCATCCGGATATAAAGTCTCCAGTTTTGACACTGAAACAAAAAGACATGGTTAGAACTGTACGATAAAGTACCCAGTAGATCAGACCGGACTTAAAGGTTTTTCAATGAGTTATGATTGAAATAAAAATTACATTTTATGTAGCCTTTAATGTACACTTTTTAATTTACAGAATAATAACTTAAATTCACATGAAATAATATACATACATTTCAAAATATGCTAATACATTTATTAAATTTTAAAAATCGAATCTATACAATAACAATGAAATTCTAGCATTATTTCACACTACAATAATGACTTGCAAACAATAAAAATTGTAGTAGATGATATTGTCTGGCTTAAAAAATAGACTCACATCACATAGAACCGCTCGACTATTGTGGTGAGCCCACTCGTAACACAAGCTTATTTAGCTTACCACGAGGGGCTTATGGGACTATTAGTAATTTGGGCAATACAAATTACTAATGATCTTAAAAAAAATAGTTAGAGGATCGATGATTGTAAAAATTATCACTCCACAGGATTTTGCAACAAACTTTTATAAGATATTTACCCTCGACGTTTCAATTCGGTTGCACGAGTCATGGTCGCGGGCGGGCTGAAGAGATGCGGCGTCGTCCCCGTCTGCTGGGATGCGATGAATTGATTCGATGATTGTGTTTCGAATCATCTACCCTGATGACAGCGTTGTTCTCAGTGACAGCCCAAGCTGTGCACCCTATGTTCCTCTTGCCGCACCGCCATACAACCTTTCCGTCCACGTTGTCTTTTTGCTTGTGGAATCTATGGCCGTTCACAATGAGCACCTGCCTCCCTCGGCGAGAGGGCATTAAGTACGCTTCACCTGGAAAACAAATTTGTTTAAATACCTTACCTTACCTTACCTTATTTGTGGAAAACCTTGGGGGAGGCCTTTGTCCAGCAGTGGACGTCATTTGGCTGAAACGACGACCTTATTCCACTTGAAATTTTCTACTATTACTTTTGTTTTTCAATTCATGCAAGTATTTAAAGCCTTTTTGCAAAGTTTCATTTAAGTAGATAATGAAGTAAAAGTTCTGATAGAAAACACTATGATATTCACAATAGGCAGTTTGTAGATGTCACCGATTCACATTCCAACCAAGGCATGCACATAGTTCAAATAATTTGATTTTAAGTAACCCTTGATATTATGCCGATATTCACAAACTATGTACTAATGTAACAATAGCATAACGTAAGTAAATCTGGCCTGAAATAATAGTACAGATATTCCAAAATATGATAATATTTATTAAATTTTAAACATTAGAATCAATTTAATAACAATAATTCTGGCATTACTTCACACTATAATAATGACTTGAAAAATTATAATACATGATAAAACAATATAAACTAAAACTAACAGATTAACATCTTAAGATGGATATCCATTACCTTCGATAAGTAAATCTTCGTAAAAAGGGGCGAGATTTATTTAAATTGTTGAGTTGCTATGCATTACTTACCGTACGTACCGGAAAACGCAGCGTGGGACGTCCACCCACAAGGTGGACCGACGACATCATAAAGGTAGCAGGAAAGCGCTGGACGCAGGCCGCTACCAACCGGGTAGCATGGAAAGCATTGGGGGAGGCCTATGTTCAGCAGTGGACGTCCTATGGCTAAGATGATGATGATGCATTACTTAAAAAATGGCCGCTATGGCGTGGTACAATCCCTGCCCGCCGGACCACTTACCGCATCATTCTAATTCTTAACAAATAATACTCTAAAGGTGGGTTGCACCCTCTTACTTTAACTTTGACAAACGTCAAAAATCTGTCAAACTCCATACAAAAAGCACAGGTTATCGTCATAGTTACCCTTAAAGTTATGTGGTGCAACTCAGCCTAATAGTTTACATTCGAACAATTACAGTTCGCGGATCACATTGAAGCGTGAACGTAGTGGATACCCAGCTTTAGATCAAAAACCAATCTGACAGTGTCATTTTGGCTACTTCTGTTGACGTGAACACGCTGTAAATTCGATCAATTTGAAGCAAGAATGAAGGAAAAGATAATGGTACGGAATTAAAGATATTAAAAACATACATATTTAAGATTATTAAGCTCATACATTAATAACCTAGATTGGTAGCAAAAAATCATAGTTAAACAGTCTCTATAGTTAAGTAAGCATAGTTATTTTATTAATCACTAGCTGACCCGGCAAACTTCGTACCGCCTTAGCGTAGAGATTTTCTTTATATTTTTTTCCGTAAAAACCTTGTACAGAGTATTAGAAAACTACAAAAAAAAATCAGCCAAATCGGTCAAACCGTTTTCATGTTATGTCGTGACAACGGAAAACGGGTTTCATTTTTATATATATAGATTAAAATTGGGAAAACTTCAGGATATAATTTATTGAGGATGTTGTTTTAAATTATGTGTAGCTCTATGTTTCAGAAAAGTTAAGCAGTAAGTATCGATAACGACAGTATAAAGAAGTCAAAAAATGCACATTAAGTCTCCAATTTACCAGAGGAAAATGGAAGATTTGGTAAATACTCCTCAGCCTGGTCAGCAGAATTTGACTGTATTAAAATAATTAACCTAATAAAAGAAAACATATTATATTAAATCATATACTTAACAATACGTTTTACGCACATCAATAGCACCATAATGGCATGTTAGGCCCATTGAAAGACTTAAATAAAGATTTACTAGAAATAAGTGGTAAAACAGTTAATTATAATACAAGAATGGCAACATTCGCCTTTGTCCAGCAGTGGGCATCTTTTGGCGATTCACACCATATTGATTCAAACCGCGGTGTGAATAGCCCAAATGGTAATTTTGAAGAGGGTCTTTCATACTGAATTCAGTGAATATTTCTTGTGAAATTTCCCAAGAAATGTTTGTGATGGTCAATTCGAACTTTGATAGGAAAAGACGAAAGAAAGAAAAAATGTATTATGTTAATATTCCATTAAGTATCGGTTCCATTACAAATAATTTCTTGGCTCATTTACACCGCTCTGAAGCCTACAATGCGAAAAACCCCATTCAATACAAATTCTTGGGCAACTCGGACCGCGGTTCGAATCAATATGGTGCGACGCGCCTAAAGGCCCAGCACTAGACAGACATCTTTTGGTTGAAACGGGTTACTCTAGCACCGTTAATATTTCTACGTCAGATGTTCTGACGTGGTTGTTGTGGCCAGTGTGCCTGATCAGCTGCTCGTCCACTGTGACTGCTGAGGACCTGCATCCATTATTCCTCTTGACACACCTCCAGAACACCTTCCCGCTTCGCTCCCGGTCCTTGTTGAAGCGCTGGCCGTTCACTATGAGCACCGGGTTCCCTCTGGCCGACCACTCAAATTTGATTTCTAAAATAAGAGGGATAATAAAATATATGAAGCAATAAAATATCGTGACTATGACTCCCTGAGGATTCACACCGCGGTTCGAATCAAGTGTGGTGCGAAACTCCTAACGATTTGGAGTAGACGTCTTTACTTTGAAAGGAATTACCTACTCTAAATCTCTTGGTCTAAGTAAGTAAATTATTTTAATTAAATACTGCGTTCATGAAATAAGATGGGCATTAGACAGAAAGAGTACCTACTTCACTAAACATAGGTGGAATTGTGTAAAGCAATCGTTATCATTTGACAGTTCATAACGTACGATTATTCTGTCAAATGCTTTGTTTAACTGACTTTATCGTACGTTATGAACTAGCAAATGATTACGATTGCTTTACACAATTCCACCTCATATTAAGCTAGAGAACAGAAAAAGATGTTACCAGTTAAATACAAATTCAAAACGTTTATTGCATGTAACATTACAATTTAGAATTCATATGTTATTGCAAAATAGAGGTATAAATGTGACGCCCTGCAAGGGCACAGCAAAACATCAGAGAGAGGGTTAGTATTTACCTTAAAAATAAGATTTAGTTACTCTTACATGGTCAATATTATACAGAAAAAATCATTATTCTATTTTATTATATTACAAAAACAGATGAAGGTAGATGGACAGGTTACTAATGAAACAGAAAAAAGTTTTAAACATACCTACACATTTGATTAATTTAATACAACATTTATTTAATTCCTATACAGTTGTAAGAATATAACTAGTAACTATAATAATGTAAATATTTCAATACCACCACTGACGGAAATCGGGAAAAAATATTTGTCCAACGATACAATTTTTCCCGATGTGCACTAGTGGGGGACAAATAGTGAGGGACAACGGGAGAACACGCCGCCGTGTGCAGAGATGGGAGTTATTTTGCTAAAAATGTACAGCGTCTGAGTACCCCGGGCCTAAATTGTGATTGTTATGAGCGGTGAGATTGAAAAGCTGCTCATTTTTCGTGACTGCTTTCGACGTGCATCCATAGTTCCTCTTAACACACCTCCAGAAAGACTTGGCGTCCTTCGTCTTCCGTACCAGGTTGTAACGTTGGCCGTACAATATTAGTACCGGGTTCCGGGTTCTGGCCGACCACTCAAATTTGCATTCTGAAATAAGAGATATATTAAAATATATGAAGCAATAAAATATTACGACTATGAGTTCTTGAGATTTCACACCGCGGTTCGAATCAAGTGTGGTGCGAAACTCCAAACGATTTAGAGTAGACGTCTTTAGTTTGAAACGAATTATTCTAAATAATCTTTTGGTCTAATTAAGTAAATTATTTTAAATTAAATACTGCGTTCATGAAATAAGATTGGCATTAGACAGACAGAGTGCCTATTTAAATATATTATGCTAGAGAACAGAAAAAGGTGTTACCAGGTTGGACAGGTTACTAATGAAACAGAAAAAAAAGTCTCAAACATTTCTTTAATTCTGATACAAGTAAGAATATAACTAGTAAGTATACAATAAAATGAATAATGTAAATATTTCAATGACTTCGGAAAATTCTGTCGGGATTAAGTGGGTAGACACCGCCCTTCTGGCGGGGAAGCCTCACATAACCCAAACGCATTCCGGACGTCAATTCAAAATGTATTCCCGTTTTCCCCCACTTTTTTTTAAATGCTTTTGTTACGAATGGATTCACCACAATAGTCGAGCGGCGATGGGGATCGAACCCGCGTTCCTCGGATCACGAGTCAACTGGTACCACCACTGGCGGAAATCGGGAAAAAATTTTTGTCCAACGATACAATTTTTCCCGATGTCCACTAGTGGGGGACAAATAGTGAGGGACAACGGGAGAACACGCCGCCGTGTGCAGAGACGGGAGTTATTGCTAAACACCGCTAAATTTTGTCAGTGTGTGCGCGCCGCATACGTGTTGGCGCGCTCACATACAAATCGCGCCCGTGCGTTTCTATGAAGATACTACCTACCTACTACCTACTCATTTGTATTTACTCTGGTTATTGTGCTACAAATGTACAGCCGTCTAAGTGCGCCGGGCCTAACCTGTGACCGTTATGAGAGGTGACCTTGACAAGGTGCTCATCTTCGGTGACTGCTTTCGACCTGCATCCAGAGTTCCTCTTGACACACCTCCAGTAAGACTGGTCGTCCTTCTTCCTTACCAGGTTGTAACGTTGATTGTCCACTATTAACACTGGGTTCCCTCTGGAAGTTCGTTCAAATTTGAACTCCATTTCTAAAATGAGATACCATATTATCGTTATAGGGGCCGTTCAAGTATTACGTAAGCACCAAGGGGGGGTGGGGGGATCTCTGTTTTGCTTATTTTGGATGACATGGGGGTAGGGGGGTCTAGATGATGATTACGTCATCGTTAGTTATTTACGTTTTTTCGGGGATTCCCGCAAATAATACATATGCGTAGGCACTCGCTTTGAGAACTGATTAGGGAAATTACCGTGCGCTATTCACTTGTCTAATAATTAACTCTCGTGCCGACACTGCCCATTGAAATTTGAGTCGTAGTCCGCATATTATTATATTTTTTTGTCCTTTACTCTATGTGTATCAGTTCAACCTAATATTTTCATGAATTATTTTCCTATTTTAGAAATTACAATATAAAAAACATTTATAACTAAAAATGTTTACGTAAGCATAGGGGGAGGGGGTAAGTGCTTTGCTTACTTTTGATGACAAGGGGGGCGGGGGGGTAAAAAATGGTAAGAAATCTGCTTACGTAATACTTGAACGGCCCCATAGTAAACAATATAAGCTATGACCTTCATCAAGACTGATTGAGCAATTAAGTGTGAAAACGCAACACAAACAATTTGGTAATTAAAATATGTAAAAAACATGGGTCTCAACGCGACTTTTATACCTTGACGTTTTGACAAATAGGAATATTTCTTTTAACCCGGCTGCGCCAGAAGAAGTGCTACGTTTTATATTAAAACTCCGTGCACTGTTCAAAAAACCCACTTTATTTCACCTCACAACACTCGTATAAATTACAATTCCAAAATTTATTAACATATAATTACGGCAGATTTTTATTATGACGTTCCGAGCCGGTTCATTTGTATTAAATTCAACAAGATTAAATTAATTAATTTTGCAAGCACCTATCTTACTCACATTGCAAAGACTTGTAAGTGATCTGACAAGATATTATTATAACGTAAAAAATTATGTTAAATATAATATATATTCCAAAACAAATACAACTAATGTTAATAAAAAGCACAGGTAAATAAATAAATACTATAATACTATCACACATATTTTCCTGCTCCCCCTCCCTGCTCGCATTCGACTAAATGGGCCAAATTGATATTTTGTAAAAAAAAAGTCATAGAGAGCACAAGTCGTAAAAAATAATGTCACATAATAATATAATATTAATTCTAAAACAAATACAACTAATGTTTATTAAAAGCACAGGTAAATAAATACTACATAATACTATCACACATCTTTTCCAGCTAAATTGCTCGCATTCGACTAAATGAGCGCAATTGACATTTTGTCAAAAGCCAGAGTCAAGTCGTCGACATGATTCTTTTGAAATAAAGAGATTGATTTTATTAGTGTTTATAGTGTGTGAGGCATTGCCAGAGCAATTTATCACTTCAGACTGCACTGGTAGCGGCCTGCCTTCCTGCTACCATTACGAGGTCGTCGGTCCACCTTGTATCCACTCTAAGAACTCTTTGCTCTATGGTAAATGATTGTGTCTGTCATTAACCTTGATTATCTGGCCGTTGTAAATGATAAGACTGCATTTGCATCCCCACTTCTTCCTCAGTGCACACCGCCAAATTGTTCTGGCACCATGCATGCTCCGGTACTGGTCCATGTGGTACCTGTAGGCTTTGATTATCAGAAGTGGATGCCCTCGAGATGACTGCGTGAAGAACAGATCTGAGCAGACAAGAAATATCAATTAAGTGCCAAAAAACGCTATAGATTAGCGAAATGTTAAATAATCTACGGCTTTAGTACTTGGTTCATAAAGGGTGTCCCAAAATTAACACAACTTTTAAATTTGCCACCATTTATGCAATTAAGTGTTGACAACCCTAAAAATAAAATAAATCGACAGCTGATAGTTCAGGGTTACTAAAATTTTGCGTTACAGGATAGAACCACCTGTCTTCGTCCGCAATTCGAAAATTTTACACAAAATATGGTCGAAATAGTGTTTTAACTTCGTGAATTGTGAAGATTTTAATTGAGAAATTCTAGGAGATAAGCCAAACACACTGTTCTTCCAAACACAAGTCGTTAAAATGTCAATATCGAAGCAGTGCGTAAGTATCGGTGACAATCCAGGAATCTCAAATGGGCGTCGTGGAAAAGATGATGTGAAAATCACACCATTAGATTTCTTTTTATGGGGTTAATTTAAATCACAGGTCTATATCAAGAAGCCCACAACCACATGTGCATTAAAGGAGGAGATTCAACGTGGTGTTAACGAAATTCAGCCATAGTCATGGGAAACTTCGACAAACGCGTTGTGCGTGCGTGCCATTTGACCGATGTGTTATTCCATAAATAACCCTATTCTATGTACTTTATGATTCAATAAAAATAATACAGTCAAAAGGCTAGTTAATTCAAAAGTGTCGTTAATTTTGGGACACCCTTTACTAAACACATTTTAGTTACATTAGACGATTAGAGCAACTATAGTCTGGTCAAAGACCGGGCTTTACGTGGCATTACTTAGCTAACTATATTTATTAAAATTATTACTTGTTAATGGTTTATTATTTTTATTGCCTATTCGTATGGTATATGGTTACACACATCAGTAAGTTCAGGGTTTCACTTTATTTTGTAAACGATAACGAAATACTATTTGTTGATTTTTATCACATTGAAAAACTTTTAATTGTATCTGAAATTACACAATAATTCATCTTATTAAATATAAATTGAATGCTGTTTACCATTGATTATTATTTTCATAACATATTGTTGAAGAATGTGTGCTACAATGATCTCACGTGTTATCTTGAATTATTTTACGACTTAAATAACTACACTACAAAATGATAATCTTTTAAATAGTAGTAGTAGTATTTAAAAAGTTTTGCAATCTATGTATACTAAAGTATCAGATTGTAAATCGTAGGAAATTTTAGTTTTGCGTCAATTGAATTGCAAGATACTTTTTTTTTATGCAAGACAAGGCAGGTATTTGATCGCAATCGCACCTGATGTTAAGTGAGATGCAGTCTAGTCTGTAAGTGCCTATTCACTCTCGCCTAGAAAAGGCCCGGATTATAGTGTTCAAGAAAGACAGCAGCAGGCAATTTTACTTATACAAATAATCGAATACCTAGTGGTTATGTTCGTTAATCACCCCTACAACATTGTTATTGTATATGATGACACTACACTTGCACCCCCCACTCTTCTGTCGTCTCCTGGCACATCGCCAGATGGTCTTCGCACCAGCCATGCTCTTGTAGCGATCCATGTGGTACTTCTGGGAGTTTATGATGAGCAGCGGCTTCCCACGCGTGGTCTGAGTGAAGATCATACCTGGGGAATCGAGACATTATTGTGTAAACATCAGTTGCTTTAACTGAATTGGCGAATGTTTATTAATTTGCAGAATTACGCCCGTATAAGATTTTAAACTTTCGCGTTCCATTTCAACTAAAATAGTAAGACACGGGTCTTAACGCGACGTTTATTTATATTAATCAAGCCGTGAGTACATAATGTAACTCATTAATAAACGTCGCGTTAAGACCCGTGTCTTACTATTTTACGCCCGTATTCTCAAACATTACTATGAGGTCTCACAGTGCGCGCGGACGCACAGAGTGACACACCAATCACAGAGCTCTATTCAACGCGTGTGTTAGATTTGCTTCACTTAGGCTGGGTTGCATCATCTTGCTTTAACGTCAAAAATCTGTCAAATTCCATACAAAAAGCACCAGTTATCGTTAGTTACGGTCAAAGTTAGGTGGTGCAACTCAGCCTTAGGCAAGCATCGTTTGTGAATACAGGTGAGATACTAGACGTATGACGTCATAAGTCAGTCGTAGCTGTAGACAAGACAGCTGATAAAGCATCATTTAGGCTGAGTAGCACCATCTAATTTTAACCGTAACTATGACGATAACCGGTGTTTTTTGTATGGAGTTTGGCGAATTTTTGACATTTGTTAAAGATGAAGTAAGATGGTGCAACCCAGCCTTAATATTGTGATCTAATCACGTAGCCGTACAAAAAAGGAAAAAGTAAAAATCAGGATTTTTGATCTGAAAAGAAAGTTACTTTTACAAGAAGTTCAGTCTTTATAGGGCATCATATTTATTACAAAAGCTTAATTGTTATCAAAATAATGCATCTAATTATAAATCTTTACTTCAGAAAAATATAGGATTTAGGTACTATTACATTCACTGTCCTGTTCTTTAATCAAGAAATTACTAAACACAAATTATAAAGAATATAAAAAAAAAATATTACATTCACTGTCCTGTACCTTATCAAAAAGTACTCAACACAAATTAAAATTATTATAATTAAAGTTTTTAAGTAATTTTATGTTTATGTACTAAATATATTATATTATAGAATTGTTTATTGAAAAATTAAAATTAAAACTAATAATTTCTCTTCCTGTTTATGTTCATAAAAGTCAATGATTATGTTCGTAGTCAAATTTAACAATGACGTCATCAATGGTGATAACCTTCGCCCTACATTTAGTGTAGCGGGTACTCCGGTTGCGGCAGCGCCACTCACTCTTGCCATTTATAGTGCGTTCTTTGTAAAACACATATTCCCCAATTCTGAGAATTCTGCTCCCTTGGCGCCTGTTTGTTGTGAAGACTGGATATTCTACAATAAATAAATAAATCTTCATTAACTTCTTTACAAATAAGTTTTCAATTACAATTACATCGCAATAAACGCATTTTTTTACTTATCGTGAAGACAATATCAATAGCATATGAGTAGAATCTAAAAATTAAACAGTAACTAAATAAATAATTAATTTAAATTTTCGTCTATTATTACCTCCTTCTTGAAGTTGGAAGCTGGAAAAGTTGAATTTTTGAATATTATTCTATTGAAAGAGCTCGTGAAGCACTTTGAAATTGAAATTGAAATAACTTTATTTTAGTTTACAAAGTTTCTTATAACTAAAAACAAACATTGACTCATTCTTTTAACCTTCGCTTTTTTTCTTTTTAATTTTTTTTTACTTTTTAATTCTTTTAAACTTCGTTTTTTAACCTTCGCCCTGCATTTAGTGTAGCGGGTACTCCGGTTGCGGCAGCGCCACTCACTCTTGCCATTTATAGTGCGTTCTTTGTAAAACACATATTCCCCAATTCTGAGAATTCTGCTCCCTTGGCGCCTGTTTGCTGTGAAGACTGGAAATTCTACAATAAATAAATAAATAAATCTTTATTAACTTCTTTACAAATAAGTTTTCAATTACAATTACATCGCAATAAACGCATTTTTTTACTTATCGTGAAGACAATATCAATAGCATATGAGTAGAATGTAAAAATTAAACAGTAACTTAATAAATATAATTTAATAAGTGATTTGTTTTTCGTCTATTATTACCTCCTTGAAGTTGGAAGCTGGAAAAGTTGAATTTTCGGATAGATCCCGTTTATTCTGTTTAGCCTATTATTCGTTTGAAAGAGCTCGTGCGTGAAGCACTTTCAGGATCAGTGTGCCTACCATGAGTTTACGTTAGGTGAGCTCGCTAGCGAATACGTCAAAAAATTCTATGAAGATTTTATGAAAGTAGCCGCTAGGGGCGCTGCACAATATGTCATACATTTAAATGACATTTTTTTACGCAGTCGCTAGCGAACACACCTAACGTAAACTCATGGTAGGCACACAGTAATCAGTTTTTCAATATCTTGTATAGTTTAGAAATAATCGAGTGAGATCACTTATCATTTCCACCCTGTATAAGACATCAACGCGTCAGAGACAATTTATGACGAGTATGTGCATTATCTATCGTAAATATTTAAATAGTAACCAAGCAATAGAATAAAAACAGTAAAAAATAAATACGAACTTACAAAAAGTAAGTAATTGTACCTATATTAGTTAAAAATAAAATGCAATTGAAAACCGTTAATGTAATAAAACAAATTCGCCTAAACTTATTTATTTTATTTATGAGGTTCTGAAATACTAGTTTTACTACATACGCATATTTCATATTTCTACGCACATCAACCTACCTCAAAATATAATTTTTGACCTTAGCTGACTAACACAAAGTTCAAAATCTATTGAGAAAAGTAATTATTTTATAGTAAGTTTTAACTATTACCTAATTAATGCTAAAAACCGTTTATTGACTGACTAGATCGATATTATTTGTAATGAATTGCATATATTTTCATTAATTAAAAATTAATTATAATTACACTAAGTACTTGATCACAAATAAATAAACTCTACTTTTTAAATTGCACAGAAGTAAACGAACCAAACTATTTTTGGCTGTGGTAATAATAATATAAAAATTAATTCTCATAGATGTACTCGAAGTCACTTTCCCTATTACCAGAAAAGTAGTAGAAACATTCTTACGCGAATCTATTAGTAGAAACCTACAAAATAAATGTAAATAATAAGCCCCTTTGCTTTGTAAACACATACAATTAAAGTAAATAATCGTTCGGAAAGCATTGGGGTAAGCCTATATTCAGCAGTGGACGTTCTATGGCTGAGATGATAATGATGATGATGATGAATCGTTCGTTTGAAAATGACGTCCACTGCTGGACAAAGGCCTCCCTTAAGGATTTCCCAAACGGTCCTGCCCTGCCCGTATCCAAGCTCTTCCCGAGCCAGATCGTCGGTTCAACTAGTGTAAAGTACATGATGCTTTCTATTAATGATTATGGTGCAAGTCAGCCTTCACTATGACCCGGTCTATGGTCATGAGTTTGGCTTTACACTTGATGGTATTCGACTGGCAACACCGCCACTCCGCCTTGATGTCGCGCACGCGTCGCTTCCAAAACCTGTGCTTCCCGATGTCAATCACAGTGTTGCCCTGCCTGTTGACTGTGAATATTGGCACGTCTGTAATGAGAAATACTATGTTAATAAAAATTGTAATATTAAAAAAATATTGCCAAAACATCCACCTAACTAATTAACTACAACATTCAAACTTTTAAAAACATTATGATTTTTTGTTACAAAACAGTGGACCTGAAAAAAAAAACAAAGTTTTATTGGTATATTTTTTATTGATTAATCACTCAATCCATTGTTGTTTCAAATAAATAAATTAAAAATAATCATCTATTATTGTAATTTGAATTCAACTGTAGCCTGGGCGCAGACCACCGATTTTTAGTTGCCTGATAGTTGGGTCGGGCAGTTGCTCAGTAGATGTATGTAAGTGCGCACATTACACCCATTTGGTATCGGCCGATTCTTCATACAAATTAGAATCGGGCCCAACTATCGGCCAACGAAAAGACGGTGGTCTGCGCCTAGGCTAAGTTTAATATTTATTTACTAGTTTATCATGAGTGGTTGTGATTGCCTTTACACAACACCACTTTATCTTCAATAGTGATGACATACGCCTTGCATTTTGTGTAGTTCGTCTTCCAACACCGCCACTCACTCTTTTCCTTATTTGTGCGTTTCTTGTAGAACCTCTGCCCTTCGATGATGATTACTGCATTCCCTCGCCGGCTCGTTGAGTACGAAGGCATCCCTATAATGTCAAATATAAAAGGTTATACATGTTATGGTTTTCAAATTTTGTCGAGAATGTTCCACGTTCCAAAAATTAGGATGATTTTTAAATACCTCTACCAGTGTTATATCCTCTATAACTGAATAACACATAAATGACACTCCATGTCTCCAAAATTAACTGACTCATATAATCTACACATTATATTGTAAACAACGCTTAGAAGCAGTTCACAAGTGTTTCCTCAGGACTACACGCCTGAATAATTGTTCACAGCATTACAAAATAAACAACTACAATGTTATTTTAAACAGCATTTAATTACATAACAATTTTTAAGTTTTACAAAAACTGCCATACCTTATTTTATCATAAAATGTTATGATATGATTCGGTCGCTTATTCTCATTTAATCATACGCACCAGAAGGAATTGTGACAAAGTGTCAATGGAAAAACTAATTTAAGATTAATTCAACCACTTCGAGAAAAGGTTCACCCGATTTGTCTCCTATTCTATTCTATTCGTTCTTTTCAGCCAAATGACGTCAACTGCTGAACAAAGGCCTCCCCCAAGGATTTCCACAACGACCGGTTCAGATTCTCTCAGCCTCGAGTTTAGCGGGCAGCGGGGCGGGAGCGGCGGCGGCGCGGGAGCGGGGCGGGCAACGTAGACCCGTTCTCGAAACAAGCGGGCAGCTCGCGCGGCGCTTTAGCGGCGAAGTGTTGTGTTCGGGGTTGTGTTGTCGAGATATTTGTTTTTATTCGCAAGCGAAATGTCTGAACAACGGCGACAATTTTATTTCGATTCAAATTTATTCC